AACCTGACCCGATTTTACAAACGGATCAGTTTATCGGACCCGAACCTGACCCGCTTCAGATTCGGGCCAACCCAAACCCGAAATTTTCGGTTCGGGTTCGGGTCGGATTTTTGGGTCGGATCTAATATTGACACCCCTACCCAAGAGATACGAAGCAAGATTAATAGCGAAGGGCTACACTCAAACCTACTATATTACCAAATGGCGTTTGCTCCAATTGCAAGGATGAACACAATATGAGTGTTACTATCACTGAAAAACAAATTTCACCAAGATTAACAATAATTTGGCATTCCAAAAATGCATCCCTTCATGGTGATCTAAAGGAGGAAATTTACACGGGTATTCCTCCTGATTTTGGGAAGATCTTGGAACCAACGAGGTCTTCAAACTAAGAAAGGCACAATATGACCTCAAATAACTATTTAAAGCTTGATTTAAAATATTTGAGAAAGTGATAATAGCCATAGGTTACAAGCAAAATTCGGGGGATCACACCTTGTTCATTAAGCATTCGAATAAAAAAGGGGGCATGATTATTAGTGTATGTCAATATAATTATAATAGTAAAGAATTAAAAAAAAAAAAAGTCTCTAAGGCAATATTTTATAAGAATATGTGGGATAAAGAAGATAGAAAAACTGAAATATTTTCTAAGAATTAAGGTTGCGCATCACATCAAAGAATATACATTTTTTTTTTTTTAAGAATATACATTTCAAAACAGAATATATTAAATAAACAAAAAATATGGCTAGTGAACTTTGCTTAATCACCAATTGATCCAAATCATAAAATAGAAGCAAAAGAAGATCAAATGGTAAGGAAATGTACAAAAAGGTTTGTGGAAAATTTTATTTATTTCTATAGCTATAAATATTTCTTTAGTTCATTCTTGAATCATTTTATATATTATCATATATCAAATACTTTGTGTGATAAGAATAATTCCTTCCAACTTTTATGTTTTTTACATTTATAGATATATTTTAAGCTAAAAGAACAAATTTTAAACAATTGAAGAAGATGTTAAATCTCAATAACACTATTTCTTAATGCAAAGACAAATACTATTTCTAAGGATTCATTTGGGACAATTTTATCCCTTCTTTCTAAAACAATTTATTTAATATAAAAAATTCTTAAATTAAAAATTTTACGCTGAAAAGCTGCTTCGAAAAATAGAAAAATTTTTATCCCAAATGAAACCAAATAATGGCATACTTTATTATAGATCTTATTTTGTAATATAATTTGTCTAACATGTCGCCCAATGCCCATCCTCACCTGCACTTGATTTGCAATATTCGGTTCCCTTTTGTTGTTGTCATCGTCATCGTCATTACATTTTCTCAAGGAAAACTGAATGCACAAAGTTAAAGTTTACAAGCAGAGCAGAACAAAGACGATGAACACCGAGGGAAGGATCAGGATATCAATAAAACAAATAAGAGGAGAGCTTCAACCAAATCAGATGAAGAAGGACAGTACCAGATATTCAAAAAAGCTAACAATTCTTCACTTCAAAGTAGAAGGCTCCATGAATGTCTTAATGAGACCTAAGTTCTTCAAGCAGAGGGCCTAATCGTTGAGCACCAAGAAACAGAGCATCTGCGAGCAGAATTAACCCAAGCTGCAAAAATAAACCAGACCATAGTGATGTTTGAATACACATGTTCATCACTCGACAAAGTCAAAAATTTCATCATTTGTATGGACTAAAATGTCATCTTAGGAGGAAAGAATTCACCAGGCGACCAGTGAAGACTAAGCGGTAGCCCCAACCCTCCTTCGCTGCTACAGCTCGTTGTTGATCAGTCCAACTGCACTCAGATATTAACTAGAATAAGAATGAACAACTCAAACAACAAAATGTTAGGCCGGTTCAACCTGAGCTGGCCCAGCCAGCCCAAAGGCCGGCTCTTGTTTACAGGAGGCGGACAAGAGCCGCCTCCCTTAATGTTGCCGCCCAAACTAGTGGGCCCCACTAGGAGCAAATTAAAGAAAGAGAAGCGAGCGGCTAGGATGAGAGGGAAATTTTGAATTAAGGAGTTTGAATTAGGGAATTAATGTATTAATAGTATGGGTTGTTCAGGGTTGAGTGGTTTCTTTTATTCTCTTAAAGTTTCTTTTGCGTCTTGGGCTCTAGATTAATCGTTTAGAGATTGGGAGAGAACGATCCTGCTATCGAATTGAGGATCAATTGTATATTGCTTAGTGCTTGCCTTTGCTTTGAATCCACTATTACAATCCATCGTTTTGGATTGATTTCATAGAGATTATTGCATTATTCTAGCTGTTTTTATCAATTATTGCTAGGGTTGCTTGTGAACTCAAGTATTTCCTCTTGGATTACTTGCAAACTCAAGTATTTCCTCTTGGATTACTTGCGAACTCAAGTATTTCCTATCACAAAATTATCAGTACTTGCATAAACACTCCATAAGTTGTAACAAGTTCTTAAGCTTTATTGGAGTTTACAAACAAAAAACTGTCATCTGTGATGTAATTATTGTAACTAAAAAAGAAGAAAGAACTAGAACTCTTCACTGATGTGACATCTTATAAGTTTGACCATAACTAATGCTTACCCAAGAAATTCAGAAACACCACCAATACCAGCAAGCTTGAAGGACTGAGGACCTTCTCGTTGAAAATCCTGCATCCAGTGAGAATAAAACCATAAAGACAAATCTGCCTCATAATATCGTCTATTTCGATCAATGCAATATACCTCTTCCTCAGCTGCATCTAACCCACCCTGTACCCAGAACAAATTCCTGTAACCTGCATTGTAGAGTTGCTCACAAGCAGCAAGAGATCTGCCAATAAATGTAGAGTTACTAACACATTTAAATTGAGTTTAATTGGATGGTACACCTGCCCAAAGCATATATATCAATATAATATCAATATAAAGTAGCAAAGTTTTCATGTTTTAAAGAAAGGTGATCACAGAATGGTGTTAGGTGCCGCTGTTTCAATATTCAAAAGTTAGAATTAACACTTGAAGATTCCAATCCACATTATGCAATAACATGATCAACAAGAAATATAAAAAATTAACTTAGTGACCATTTGTCAAATTTTAAGAAAGTGAAATCATTTATTATGTTATCATAGACGACTTCTTCAATGTGGGATGTGCAACTTCGATAACAATAATATCTCCCTTCCGATCTTATCAATTGGAAGTATCTCAGGACGTTTTATTCTATTTAACCAATGAGTAAAATGCTCTTTCAACACTTACTATAGTAACAGGTAAAACTAGTATTTTCAATAGTTTGAAAAGCAAGGAGTTATAAAGTAGCTTTACTGGTTTGGAAAATTTTCTCACATAGGCTTCAATGTCTTTTTAAGGATAATATTTGACATCAACTACATACACATAATGTACGTTTCAAGCTAGTTATCAAGGTTCATTAGATCTATAAAAGCTAGTTTTCTTTGTTGAATTCATTGAACAATTTTTTTAGATTCAAGCACGTCTCGAATAAAAGCAATTTAGCATGTCTATCTCGAATAAAAGTAACATGTTAATAAAATTTTGTATGTGATAGGAAACACTTGAAGATTTCAAGTAAATCCTATCAATTTCAGAAAATCAGTGAGAAACTCTTCCAAACTCCAAAAGAAAAAATAGAAAAATAGTAATTTTATTGCAAGAATCAAATAGATCGGAAGAAAACAATAAGATACAAGTGATCCTCCATTCGAGAGGAGGATCGATCTCTCCCAATCTCTAGACGAATCTAGAGCCCAAAACCAAAACCTAAGATATCCCACAATCAGCCAAATTCAAGATGCCATAACCCTAGGAAAACAAACTATTTAATACATACTATTCAAAAGGAAATCTCTAAATAGTTACTACATTCAAATTTCCCTCCAATATCCCTCAAAAACCTTTCCCAAAAAGCTCTGTCTGGGTGGTCCGATTGCGCGTGAGGCGGAGAAGTTCCGCCTCTTTGTTTCTTAAGCTGGTCCCGTATGGACCGGTCCAGTGGACCGATCTAATAATACTCCCCTCCCAAAGATCCACCATGTCCTCAAGGTGGAAATATGCTCATATTCCCGTGGAGGTGGTCATCCTTGAGGTGGCTGAAAAACCTTACCAAATTGTTGAATCAAGGGCTGCACTAAAAGAGAAACATCCCCTCCCTTCTCCATCCTAATCACATCCAGCTTGTATAGTCCCACCAAATAATCTCCCGCCACGTTTTGTATGTCCTAACCATGGTCTTTAGTTATATCATGGCTTTGGATATCCCTGCAACTCTCCTTATAACCACCTTTCTCCCATCCACCATTAATTCCATCATGAGTGCTCCTCAATTGTCCTTGGTTTCCCCCAAGATTTGCAACCACTTTATCCCCCGGGATGACATCAGTACTTGCTAACTCTAGTGGGAGAAAATCCTCCCTTATCTGAATCCCCTGGATGGTCAACATCACTCCTCTACAGATCTTCTGGCCTTTCTCCACCTTCCTTGTACCCATCATCATCCCATAATAACCGGTGTCCACCAATTTCACTCCTAGTTAGTTGAAGACCTGAGTAGAAATGAAATTATGGGTAGCCCACTGTCACTCAATATTACCACCTCCATGCCTGCAATGTCCCCCTTCACATATAGAAGTCAAGTGTGAAGCTTGAAGTAGAACATATAGAATCATATCACATCAATTTAGTCCTAATATTGTCATTTTTTATTAAGTCCACTTTCAAACCAGTCTTCCATTATCACTTGCTAGTTATCTTACAATTCATATTATTTTCACATAAAGTAATCATCTGATATGTCGGTTCCTGGAGAACCGACTCAACCTCAACCGGCCCAGGTGGGGTCAGCACTTGTATACAAGAGGCGGGTTAAACCGCCTCCTTCCTACACCGCCACTTGTATACAGGAGGCGGGTCAAACCGCCTCCTTCCTACACCGCCTAAGGGAGGGGCCCACGCCCAATTAGTTTGGATTTAATTAATTAAAAAGATTATATATCTTTTGAATTAAGTAAATACTATCTTATATTAGGAAAGTGGATTTAATTAATTAAAAAGATTTGATATATTTTGAATTAATTAAATACTATCTTATATTAGGAAAGTAGTTTTAAGTAATTAAAAAATTTTGATATCTTTTGAATTAATTAAATACTATCTTATATTAGGAAGTTTTTAAGGAGGTGGAGAGGGCTATTTAAAGGGCATGAAGGGGTTAGGACTAGGCATGCTTTGGTTATTGTCTTCTTGTAGTCTCATTGGTGCTTTGGGCTCTAGACTCTTGTCTAGAGATTTGGGAGAGATGATCCTCCTCTCGAATAGAGGATCCATTGTATCTTTTATTCTAGCTTATGTTGCTTTGAGTATCAAGTTCTATTATTTTCTTGGTTGTTTCATCTCCGATCTTGGGTATTCTCGCTGTTTTTACCAATTTCGCATTAGGATTGCTTGCGAACTCAAATAGATCCGATAGGATTACTTGCGAACTCAAGTACTTCCTATCATCATCTTGATTTAGAAGGCCTTCCACACTATTGTCTAACATCATTTACATTGTGACTCCTACTCTAAACATATCAATGATTCATGCAAGGATCAAAACAAATGAATATTATAAAAATAAATAGTTGGAGAATATGAAAGGCACTTGAATTAAATTTTTCAAATATGAAAGGCACTTATGTAAACGATAAACCTCAATCCTTTCTGGCACACAACAATAAGGTCAGAATCTTTTGGAATTTTTTCCTCAACCTTTGATATGAAACTCCTACAGTAGTAAAGAAAATTATTCTTAGTGCAAATCAATTTAGAATTACATAAAAGTATACAAACAGCTAATTATATGAAAGTAGCATACTTATCATAGGTCAAAGTACGACTTCCACTCCACCAACCTCCTACAAAAAATTGTATGATATTTATCTATTCCCAAAAAAACTAAAATAGCTAAAATTTAAATAAATGTATGCAATGGAGATAATATTCTCAAAACCATGTATCACCGTATTGGTTTGGTTATAGTATATCAACCACATAGGTTTACCAACTAAGCAAGATTATAACAACATGTGAAATACTAGGGCAATAAGTTGTCAAGCATTTTAACATAACATGTGGGCATGAGAATGATGAATGGGCAATGAAAGTAATGATCATGATAAAACTTTTGAAGCCATTATGGTACAAAAGGGAAAAACCTAGCTTTGAGGAAGGATGGGGAAGTAAATGTAAAGAAAGTGATTAGAAGATTAGAAGAATAAATACCTCATAGAAAATAAGGCAAGGTTTAGAGAGAGAGAAAGTCTCAAAACTAAGAAAGCATCTACTATAATAGACTAAGAAGAGAGCCGAAGGAGAAGCCACTTCTTTCTTTTTTATTTACTAACTATTTAGCAGCAATCAAATCAACTGTGGCCTATTGTATAAAAGCATAGCCATAACATGGATAATCTATTCCTAATAACATTAAGATAATGACAATGATACCCAAAATGGCTAATGATCATTTTAACCTTAATAGATTACAAAATGACAAATAAGGGGGAGTAACATAAAATGACATAACAAAAATATTAAGACTAGCTTTGTGACTAAAGGCTAAACCATGATAGACTAAACCGGCACTAATAATGACTCCAAGATACACATATGAGAGTAAGCATCTTTCACTGCATCACAAGACTTCCAAACAAAACTCTAGACTACTAATCACTTTTGCAGTAGAAGTAGATTAAGTTTCAGTTTATATTCATGAATCACTCTTTTTCAATTCTCATTGCTTGTATTTCACATATTCTCTAGTCCTAATGCTTGCCAAAAGACAGATTCTCAATTCCTAATAAAGCATAGTTATTTGCCCGACTCTAAGCAAACCACAAACAAAAATGGAGTTTGGATGCAACATGAGAGACTAGCATGTTCAATAATATATTAACATGGTTACTGTTAGTTTGTTATAAGATAATTTATCCCATTTCATTGATGATTTTCAGATCAGTTCGTGGTAGCGCTCAAATCCTTCAACTGGTTAATTTACTTGTGCAGCATTGGCGAGAAATGAAATATCAACATTCATTATAATTTTTGCTGCAAACATGCATTTGTACATGTAATTTTTCATAAATAAGAGGAATTTACTAGTACAACCCATGAAAGCGTGGTTAAAGAGTATAACCAAAAGCATAAAATTCCGATCTAATAAAATTAAATTTTGGATGCCTTTTCATGATCCGATGACCTAAGAATGTAATATAGAAAACGGTAGATCGAAGGCAACTTGGATAAAAATTTGTATATATATATATATCTGTGTTATGCGCCTCATGCAAGATTCAACAAAGATAATTTTAAAATGAGATTAAATAAGGATGGCCCCAATTAGTAGTAATGAAGCTGATGATGATGAGTCCATCTTCTCATAATGAATTAAGAATCTAGTAAAATGTTACAATAGTAGGCTGCTACCACAATAGATGAGTGCATATTATTCATAAAACAAATGTTATCATAAAATCGATCAAAGAGAGAAAATCTTCTTTTTTTTCAGTACCCATTACATAGTTTGTAATCTTTCTAGACAAACTTCCAACGTCAAATGTATTGTCTACATCAAAAATTGGTATCCAAGTAGAACCTTTTACCCTTGCCTGCAAAAAAGAAATATACTACAAATTTATATATGACTACGGAAAGCAAAAGCAAGAGCTGAACCTGTTAATGATATGAACCTTATTGTGCTCATTCGAGGGACGGACATCAAGCAGAGTTTTGTAAGAAAGTTGAATTGCATAACCAGCTTCTTTCGGTGTGAGAACTTTGACCTTTTGTTCCCTAATCTAGAAAGCAAATATAGCTTTAGAACAAACATAATATGTATAGCTTATAGTTCCACAGCACAATATGTTAACTTTTGCGATTCAGAGAAGAAATTCCACATTAAAAAAATGGTGAAATCAACACTCAATTAAAATTACAATTTAATTTAACAAGTTATTAAAACATATGGTTTAATCTTATCAAATTATTTAAAACACAGAATCTCAATTGCAATTTGATCCACACAAAATATTTGAATTGGGCTTGCATAATCCCATGTATTCTATATTGCAAACTTAGCAACAAGATAGTAAATCTCAATAAAAATAATAACTGCTCTAGATTGTTTATAAGCAAAAGTACTTTTAATTTCCAAGCAATGTGGAACTAAATGAGAGAAGTTTGCAGCTCTATTAAGTGGGGTGGAGTGGGAATGAGATTGTGATTCTCATTGTTAAGCTTTTGTGGCCATTTCTGATCTCATAATCTACATGATTACAGCCCAACTTATATACTAACATCATTATTATACTGGAAAAGAAATGATAAAAATTTCTCTTATAAATATCATTATCCTGCTAGCCAACTAAAAAAAACTGATTCAGCCCCTGTCTACACGCCAAATACAAAACACAACTCCCCGCATCAACACAAGGAAAAAACCAAATTTTCTAAATGCGGCGGTAAGTACCAGAGTTTCCCATCTTTTCCGTGCGGCAGCCATCTCTTTCGCCTGCTTTGTTTCCTCCTCCTCGCCTACCATCGCTCCCATTACTAGAATCGGCTCTGCCTTCTGCATAATAAAAACTCATAAAAAGAAAGAGAAACCTTGAAAATAATTCATTGGAAGGAGCACAAAAAATATGGAACGGGAGAAGGGTTTGAAACTCGCATGTGAATGAGATCGAAAGCTCCTTCTAGAATGGGGCGAGAAGGGATTCGATCGCAAGAATAGGGTTGGTCCTCTCCCGCAAAGAGAGCTCCGTCGGAGAGGATTGGAAGAAGGAATGGCCAAGCTGCCGGTGAAATTGTGACCGAGAAGTTCCATGCCGGAGACGGAGGTCTGCTTTTCCACGGACTCTACGTTTCTTGGCCGGAAAATTTTATCCGGGATTGTTGTTCTGCATTTTGATGTTTAACCGATAGTCCGACAGCAACAATTGACATGATATGGGCCCATGCGCAATGGACGTGGACCGGGCTCCAGCCAATTAGAACGGTCTAGAGGGTATCTTTTGGACCGGTGCGAAGGTTTGAACCGCTGATTCAACCAGTAAATCATCAAAACGGTTCCAATTTGATTGAATCGGTTCCGATTTGATTAAATCAGTCAGTTCAAATATTAAACTTTTATTTAATTACTTTTTATTTTAAATATATATTTAAAGTTATATATTTATGCAAATAAATTTAACCAGAATAAAAATGTGAAATCCTAAAAAAAATTTATAATAATTTTTTATCTAAAATAGTTAATATTTATTTATGGAATCATCATAAGTTAAAATCACAAATCGTCTTCGTCAAAATATTTATAATATTGTGTTTTAGCTTCTCTAATTTTTTCATAATTTTTTGGCACTGTCAAAATTTCTTAAGAAATCGACATATGTCGGTACAAGTGGGGTTTTGAGCACCGTCAGGTATCCGTTTTGCAAACTGATTTCATCCAAATGTTCTAAATAAAATTAGCTAATTTATGAATATTTTTCTATAATTTTTAATTTTTGAATTTAAAAATATAAAAGATTTTGAATAAAATTAATATTTTAATATTAAATAATTATAATAATTAATATTTTAATAAAATATCTTATTCCAATAATATATAAAATTATAAGATTTATTTGTTTTTAATATTTTTCCCAAACGGAGATCGGTTAGAGCGATTAAGGAAAAAAGGTGAGGGAGAGAAAATAAACAGTTCAGTTTTGGGCGACTTCGAGCCTTTTTCGTCCATCGGCCTAGGTGGAAAACTTATTCATCTCGAGGTAGGTACGCTATGATCATCTTAATTTAAAAAATGTGCATGTTTTAGCAAATATTATATTAAAATTTTGCATCCGTTAGCGAAAAATAAAAATAACTTTGCACAGGTAAAACTTTCATCGCATAACTTTTTATATGTTCTAGAGATTATACTTATGCACATTTTGAATATTTATTAAAAAAAAATTCACTACGAGTTTTGAAATTTGTGTGGTTTTTATTGAGTATAAAATTATATGCATGTTGAAAAATAATGTTATAGTATAATAAAATCTCAAAACATCATTTTATACAATTCATAGTAATTTGAATTTTTTTGAAAATATTTATTTTTATCTAGTTGGATTTTCTGTTGTCCATCGTTATACAATACTGTGAAAGCTTGATACATGCTCAATCACTCTTTAATTATTATAATGTGATGATATATGTGCATATATTATTAAATTATATCTATTGAGAGCCATAAGGGATTAGAATCCTTTGAGATTCTATTTGTGTCAGATAATTTCTTAGAGATAAGGGATTAGAATACTTTGAGATTTTGTTTGAGATAAGAATATGTGATATGTTTTGGTGCTATAAGTATAAATAAAAAAGAAGTCATAAGAGGGCAAAATTCTTTGAAATTCTATCTGTGCCTGAAAAATGTGATCTGAATTATTCTGTGATATGAATTTCAATTTCTTTATTTGTTATTTATTGTTATTTAAATCAAAGAATAACTTATATGCATTTATTATATTTCTTAGTTTAGTGATTTATTTAAATTGCATTTAACTACTTCTAGATATTCAATAAAATATTTGATAAAAAATATTTAAAAATTTAGACTGGCTTGTGGAACTTGTTGAGCTGTTATAGCTCATTGTGATTTTATTTCTAATTTTCAAGATCTGTGAAGAAGAAAAAGGTTATGTACTAGCAGTTCATGATCAGATATTGTGTCATAGGTATTTTGTTATTTTGATTTTTTGTACAGTCATGACTAGTTAAATTTTCAATTATGTTGCTCTTGACTGTAGCCATGTATTGCAATGTAGATATTTATTTTGATGAAATGAAAAAAACTTGATGGATGAGTTTATTTCAGTATTTGAATATTTAAGTAGCTATGTAGTATGTAGTTTATTTCATTGAATATTGAGAGAAAATTTGAAATAATTCCAAAACTGGATGTTGGGATTTGTCTGTCACAGATCAATGTGATAGGACTTGTCCTATACAGATTGGGTTGTAACAATAAAACTACTAGTTTACAACTTTATTTGTTGTTTATGAAGTAAGATTAAAAATGTATGAGAATTATGCATGAGTTAAGCTATCAAATTGCTTAGATATAAAATTGAGTTGAGAATGCATATAATTTATTAATGTTAGAAAGATAAGTTTTTATGTTATAAATTTTATATATTATAGAAAATATGATATTATTATTTTAATTAAAAATTATATTTATATATATACATTTATATTATTAAACTTTTTTAATTAAAAGACATATTTATTATGCATATAATTATATTTGTAATATACATATACTTACATTCAAGTTAATTATCAATCGAGATTCTTAATAAGCTTTATATTGAGCCTTATTCGAGTTTGTTTATGAGCTTTAATCAAAATTAGTTGTGTATTCTTTGTTAAAATTTTAATTATTATATAATTTAGATTATATTTGAATAATTTTAGTATTTATTATGTCATCTTGTTCAACCTTGATTCGACTTCGGTTGAAATAATTATGTTGATGGCAAAAAATGATGACTCTTTATAGATTTATCGAAAACCACATGTTTAAATAAATTATTAATATAAATAATTGAAAGATATGATTGATCGATAATAATGGATTTAAATGATTGAAGAATGACATATGGAATGATGGAAAATACAACTTTAAGAGCTAGATGTCATGCCTTGCTATTCATAATTATATTCATATTTATATTTACATGAAATCATATGAATAGATTGAATTGATTGATAGATAAAATTAGTATTGTTGCGCCCTGAAATATTCGCGGCACTAGAGAAATATGAAGTTTAACGTCTTAACATTGCACAAAGATCCAGTACGCAATCAGATAAGAGAGAGGGTGTAGTGTTCATAAGAGACACTAGAGTTTTTACATAGAAACCCTTGAAAGGGGGGAAAACCACGGGGACTGGCCCAGTTTGAATGGATCCACTAGTATTTGCAGTCAATTACAAAAGAGGCCCGTCTTAGGTAGAAGGCATTGGCTTGATGTCACAAATGTACATCATTTAGAGCGCATTACATGTTGGGAGTTACAATAATCAACATAGACATGTTTGTTTGGTCGGCAGGACCATAATTGATAGGATAGAGGTTGGAAATACCATAATATGCAAGAAATCAGGGTCAGAAAGACCATTGTGCGACGATGTAGGTTGGAAGAACCATAGTATGCAGGAGACTAAGGTCAGAGAGACCGTTGTTTGGCGATGTAGGTCGGGAGGACCGTAGTAGAATATGGAGGCCGGAAGGACTATAGTCGGCACGTACGAGACAGTGGTCCAAAAGACTGTAGTTGGCTGAAGATTGGGGTCAAAAAGATCATTGTAGTAGGTCGGTACTCTAGTAAAACTCTAGGCATCAAGTGGTTGGCCAACAGAGCAACGACGTTATGCGGTGGTTCGACGGAGGTGACAGCCTTAAGTGGTGGTCCAGCGGAGCAATGATGTTAGGTGGTGATCCGGCGAAGGTGACGCCTGGAGCTCTGCCGGAACACCACTTAAGGCCCTGAGCTCTACTGGACCACCACTTGAGGCCCTCACCTCTCCTCATCGACCACCACCTGAGTTTTGTCGAACCATCACTTGAGGCTCTCACCTCCGCCGGACCACCACTTGAGAGCATGAGCTCCGCCGAACCACCGCCTGACGTCGAAGTTCAACCAGACCATCACTTGAGGGCATAAGCTCCTCCAGATCACTGCTTGACATCGTTACTCTACCAAACCACCACTTGAGGCCCGAACTTCTACAGAACCAACACCTGAGGCCCGAACTTCCGTCGGACCCCCACTTAATGCCCGGACTACTGCTGGACAACTACTTGAGGCCATCGTCTTCGTCGGACCACCACTTGAGGCCCTCACCTTCTTCGGACCACCACTTGAGGCCCTCGCCTTCGCCGGACCACCACTTGAGGCCTTCACATTCGCTAGACCATCACTTAAGGGCCTGAACTCCGCCAGACCATTAACTAACACCAGAATTCTGACAAGTCACTGTCAGACTACTAACTGACGCCTCAACTTCCAAGTGATGCTAGATTTAACACTAGACTTCAATTATTCGGTTGACATTTATAATCTGATCGCCCTCAAGGACAAGTCAGCCCACTGTAATCAACTCGAATTCTTGTGAAATCTTTTCAACTAGGTTAGGCCCCGTGGTTTTTTCCCTTTTTACGGTTTTCCACGTAAAAACTATTGTGTTATCTGTGTGTGAGCTGGATATCTGTGCAATGCTAAGACGTAAAATTACAACTCTATCATCACGTATATTCTAGCCCGCAACAAATATTAAATAGATAAAAATAATAATGAGGCTCATATAATATGACATAACATATGAAAGAGACATTGATAGATGTTGATAGATATATTGATATAATATATTAATAAGGATATTGAAATAATATATTAATATGTCATTCTAATAGATAGATACATGCCATAACATTTGATATAAATGCTTTGATGTATATAATGTATAGTTGCTTTGATGTATATAATGTATAGTTGTTTTTGCTGGGTTTATTAATATAGATGAATTATTAGTCACTATGATTAATTGATTAAGTGATAAAATACATAATTTGTCCAATTTAAGTCTTGGTGCGTTACATTTTTTGCCAAAAATATAAAAGGCATGCCATTGGCACACATGCAATACCTGTTGTGGCAACATATAGTTGTACATATTCTGACTAGACTAGTAAGGGTTGCTCATTGAAATCCCAACATTCTGATCTTACGCATACGTCTATGTGTGTTTGGTATGCATGTAAGTGTTTAAAACAATTGCGAAGCAGGTCTCATGAGTATGTGTGCATGCATGTAAAATTTTTTTTCCTCTTGGAGCATCGCAGTGTTGGGTTAGTAGCA